AAACAGGTGCTTTAATCCGCTATTTGGCTGGCCCTGAATCTGATTTTTAAGAGGTATGCTCACAACTACGTGGAAAACATGGCTCCTTAAAGCATCTTATTTTTGGTGCTTCCAGATGCAAAATGTTCCCTTTTCTATGGCAACTGAAATCTCAACCGGTACCGGTTTTTGTCACCAAGTCTTCAATAACAAATGTGCATATCTAGAGGTACATACTGTATTTTTATCAAAATGAATGAACTCTGGTGAAATAAGAACCACAGAAAACTAGAAGACACATTGGGAATGTCATATGTGTCTTTTTGTTCATCTCATCTGTTTCCATAGGAACACATACACAGGTTTCAGAATATTCGCTGAAGCAGATGTGGCGTGGCTGCTTTGATCTGCAGCGTGGCACACAGGCAGGCAAAGGATGCACAGCTCCTCAGGGGTGTCTGGACTAAAACAGCAGCTTTCCTGCTGTCCAAGCACTCTGTGAGAAGAAAAAAAAATAAGCAGAAGAGGACCGGAGAAGCCAATTCAACTTCCTGGGCGCTGCACACTGGCAGGTATAGAGTAGGGGGCAGAGGTGGGTATTCTACCTGCCTAGCGTTTCTAGAGCAGTTCACTTCATCAAAAGGGACTAGCTCTTAATTCTTTAAAAATGATTTGTGATTTGACTCCTAGTAAGAAAACCAATACTGAATAGCTAAATATTAAAGTTTGTACCTCCAGATCCTCTAAGTTCTGATTGATAAGGACATATTTCTCTGGAGAATTTGGCACAGGAAAAAGCTTTGGAGAGTCTGGTGGGCTTACTGGGGGATACAAACACTTGGCTCAGACCTACCATGGCCTTGTCTTACTGGAAGACCCCTCTACCTGGGTATCGGGCGAGTCAACTTGCCACAGGTAGCTGAGTCCAGGGGATGATTCCTATTATTTTACCCTGATGAGAAAGCAGGACAAGCATAATGCTTTGGGAAAACCTTTTAAAATGCTTTTATTCACATTCCCCACCTGCACGGTTCTGAGAGAAGTCAATTCAACTTCCTGGGAGCTGTACGCTGGCAGGCACAGAAGCAGGGGGCAGAGGTGGGTATTCTATTTGCCTAGGGTTTCTAGAACAGATCAGAGAACCTCAGGGGCCCTGAGGAGATGTGTTTGGGCTGAAGGGAATCCAACCAGACAGTACACTGTGGCAGAGAGATGACATGAACTATTTAACCCCCTTCTTAGATATCAGGCTGCCATAAAAGCACCTGTCTTCTAGTCCCAGCAGCCCACATCAATGGCCCCCATAAATTTCATGAGAATTCACTGTAGATAAAAAAAAGGAAACACATACACAAAATGTCTGTTTTAACCTGAAATAATTCTGTTGATATTTGAGTTGCTTTCAGTGGGACATTTGCATTAAACCACAGATATCTCCATCTCCAAGTACAAAATCCCTTCTCCCCACCCCCCTCCCCAATCAAACAAACAAGGAAACAAAACCCAAAACCCACAACTCAGCTTCAATTAAGTTTGGAAGAAACGAGGCTCTATTTACATATGAGGCAAGAAATAAATCACAAAACTATTTACAAAAATACACAAGCTTATATGCATTAACAATTTACACCAGTTCACAAAAATATTAAAACATAAAAAAAAAAAACACTATATAAATTAGAGAACCCAAAAGTATGATCTAGGACTTTCTAGGATGCTTCTCTCATGCAGGTCATGGTTGAAAAATCAGGTTTTGCTATCTCAGAATCTAAACTGTAAAACAACCATTTTTATTCTTTGAACATTAACAGTACTAATCGGTAAGAAAAAAAGACCCTCTGTGCACACGGACGTATCGTCTTGCACACATTAAAATATATCATTCCTGACATTTCTGTCACACACAGTACTGACGATCACATGCCTCTAACCATTTGAAAGTAGCTTTCTGACGTACTTCAGCTTTCATTATCTCCTTGCACCCTCTGCTCGGGCAATGGACACTCTGCCAACGTTCTGAGTGGGTGACCAATAGGGCTGGAACAGAGAAAAGAACCTCACAGGGTCCTTCTTGAACTTAAGGGGCAAGTCCCAAGTCTATCATATACATTTATTACTGCTTCATAGAACAACCCACTCTTCTATCCCCACTCACATTCACAGTCCCTCCTCTTTACAGAATTAGTCCTAGAATTTTTCAACCTGACCCTAAATTAAAAAAAAAAAAAAATGCTTTGCCACTGTAAGAAATGTGCAGGCCTGACCCTTGGGACCATCCCAGAGACTTCTTCAAACTGAGTGTTTAAAACATGTGAATGTATATTTAAAAGTAAATCAAATACACTAAGAAATAAGGCTCAGATTAAATTTATTAATAAGAAAATGGCACCCCTGGGGCTTTTAGCAAGGCTCTTAGCCAGAAATCCAGGGAATATTTATTTCCATCAAACCAAACTATGGAATCAGGATTTTGACAAAAAGATGAAACCTGGAGACAAGGCCTTGAAAGTACTGATAGAAATGAATTATGGGTTAATGCATAAGGCAGCTCCATCTCCTTGATTGTAATATTCCATGTCAGCATCTGAAAATAACATTCAGCTCTGCATCTGTGAAGCCACACACTGGGTGGACAATGCTGAGACAACCCGGCTCACAGTGATCTGCCATCCAATTTCTACCTCCATGGCATCACAAGGGGAAAGATAGGGACGAAGTCTTCTAAATAACTCAATCAAAAGTTAAGGCTGTTGCTACATGTGTTTATGCTAGACTTTACCTAAAGTCTATGTTTCATACTTAGACCAGTAATTTGAATTATTAGTCTATGTTCAGTATATTTACCTGATTATGTCCAAGCCCACAGGACATTAATAAAGAAACTGTATGAGGATGAACTTTAGCATTTATAAAATAGGCTTTAGTTTCAGGAGTAAATGACATGTGACATCAAATTCACAAATACTAAAACGGGCCTGGACTTCTGCTGCTGCTCTGTCCTAGGCCCTCAGTTCCTGAAGCTGCAGCACGCCAGCCCCTCTTCCTAAACCTCCTCGGCTGCTGGTGAGATTTTTCAGGGCTGGTATGGTCCCAAGGGGCAATGAGTTGCCTACTTGATAAAAAGATGATTAAGGTTAAAAAAAATAATGCCACATAATCACCAGAGCTCAACTCCTGTATGCAGCATCCGGTGTGTTTGTGTGCCAGATGAAATACCCGACCAAGTTCCTAACATTTTGACAACATCAGCTGGGTCTTCACTTTTAACACTGAGGCCTACATTTTTACAAACTTTTCCATAAATTGGTGTTTTAAGATTTCTACTCTGGTCTTTGTTGTATTCCTCTGATCAATTCTTGGGGGCGGGGGAGGCCACCTTATAGAGTATTTTCATATATAAATTTGTTCTTAAAACTTTTTCTAAATATAAATCCTTAAAAAGCAATCACATGACTTTTTAAATTAAAAAATGACTGGTATGGATTCTAATCTTTATACAAATTCACAACAATATTAGCAGCATTTTAGCCTCTTAAAAGATTTCCTCCTTTGCACTAACTAAAAATTAATTCCAAGTCCTAAAAAGCCAGAGCAGCAATCATCCACTAGATGGAATGAACTCTTGTTTTCTACAACTGAGCACTTAAAATATGTAAGTGTACAAAACTCAAGTATTATTATGAGTTATGGAATGAAACAACAATCTCACTTGGTAAACACAGGACTGCCTTTCTAGTTGGTGTTTCTGTGGTAGGATGAGCTGAGGAAACAGAAGGAGCTGGGTTAGAGAGGTGTCCTGCTCCTACTCTTAAGGAATGCAACTTTCAAAAGAAAGTCCTGGGTATTAAACATGTTTGACATGTCTACGGAATTATAAAGACCTATACCGAAATGCTGGTGTCAATGACAATTACAGTAAGATTGTGATCACAAAAGTACAGAGGAAGCAAACACTGCGTGACACCTTAGGACTAAACAGTAGCTGCCTAGGCGCCAATGGGGCTGTGTACGCAGTGGTTATTGCAGGAACTTGCAGTTTTCTAACAGATTGCAACTACCCCAGAATTTCAGGGAACCTGTACTCTGGTTTAGAAACAGAAGTTAGCATGTAAATCTACATTTATGAAAAATTGTGTGTTTATTCAGTCAAATCAGGCCAGTCTTTACTTCATGACAAAAGCAGCTCATGTAGGAAAATAGTGTGTTTTACTGGAAGTACAATTTACTGAATATTATTCAGGGGAAGAATCTGCAGGCAGGCAGCACACTAACAGCCTTTATACAGTTTTTTGGAGTTAACCAAGTTTGCTGACTGTAGCATTTCACTTTTTCTTACCTAACAAATTCCCTTCAATTCTAACTTAAAAAAATACTCTGCAGTGATACGAGCCTGTGCACTTGTGTGCAACAGGTACGGAAATATGAATGTAAAGAGTGTGGCTCAGCCTGAACCTAGATGGTCTGCTATTTTATAACTCTGTACTATGAAATGCTGAAAGTCTTAGTTCCTTCACTTTTTAATTATAATGTTGCTAATTATCTCAGTGATTTATCTGAAGGATCAGTGAGTTTTTCTCCATCCTAACTTAATCTGCAAGCCCCTTTTTGGCCAGAGACAATGAAGTGAGAACAGAATGGAGCATCTAATGGGCAATGTGTGCAGCCACTGACGGGCAAGCAGGGACACAAATGATGAAAAAAGAAAGAAAAAAAAGACTACCAGGAAAGAAATGTAAACTGCTCTGAACTAGGTAGCATGAAGAAAATACAGTTAAATTCAAATTCAGTTAAAGGCAGTCCTCAGGCTCTTAATGGATTAGCCCTCTACAGCAAGTGCGGTCTGTGACAGATTTTTACCAGATTCTCAACACAATGCTTTACAATCATTCAGATCTCTTTTTAAAGACAAACATGAGATTCTATAGATAGAAGGATGGAAATGAAGCAGTGTGTGGGGGAAGATGGTGATTTGTTTACTTTTGATACATTTATTTTTCAAATGTGGTCAGAAATTTTGTACCTTTTTTTTTTTTTTTTTAATCTTTTTGGTTACTGAAAAAAATAGAACAGTCCACTGTCCAGCAGAGGCTGCTTCAACTCTATTGCTCCCAGGGCTCATTCTGCATGGATCTGTGTGTCAGGGTGCTGCAAGGACAACTCTGTGGGCAGGAAGGCCCCCTGACCCAGTGCTGTGGCGTATGTCCTGCTCTGTGGGTGGGCAAAGCCAGAGGGCATGTAGGTCCCCATCCCTGCCCCTCCAAAGCTGCCTCGCTGGTGCTGGGGCAGGGAATGGCAATCCTCCAGGTTATCATACTGGGACACAACAGTCATATTGCTCTGGCGCTTGCTGTGTGTTTGGTAGTGGTATAGCACGCTGGGGTCCCTCTCCAGGTTCTGGGTGTGGTGCAGCTTTAGGCTATGACTCCTCTCTGGCTTAGGGGGTGGGACCGTTGACTGGGTGAGGTGCTCCTCCTCCTTGTAGCAGTTTCTGGAGTGTTTGTCAGGGGCTGGCGGCTGTCTGGTTCGAGGGCGCTCCAGCTCTTTGGAGAGCCTCACCTCTCTGTGGTTTAATCTTAAAGACTCCTGCCCTGATGGGGCATATTTTCCTCCAGAGTTATGGTAGCTGCCTGGCTCGGCAGTGTCTGGAATCCCTTTGGGCCCATAATCTAACTGGCCAGAGGCTTGGGCATGAGGTGGCCCATGTTTTGATTCACACAGTTGCCTATGGCTTGCTTCCTGATGCGCCCTGTGCTCTGGGAGACTACACCCCATGTCATGGAGCTTCCTGCTCCTAAGGCTGCTCTGCTTCTGAGGGAGGGATGGCTTCTCCCCTTGTGCGCTGCCATAGACCCCATGGTGGAGGACTCTATCGAACTCTTGCTCTGGGTGCTTCCTACAGAAGCGGTCATCTCCCTCAGGACTGACAGCCTTGGTTGGGTGTCGTCCCTCCTTTCCCTCTGCCACCGAGAGAAGTCCAGTTTTCCCAGGATCGGATTTGCTGCGCAGATGGATGACATAGATCCCCCCCAAGTCATCCTGCATGGCTGGGGTCATGTTATCATACTGAGACATGACAGGGCCCTTCACCTTCTGCCGTGCTCGGCTCTCTCTCCGGATGGACTGCATGCGGTATTTCTCCATGTCCTCCAGGTCCCATGATGTGTAGGTGTGCTTTACATCAGCAGGCGGAGGCACGCCGACTGCATTATGGTCATTACCAGAGAAAAAGCCAGCGCCACCGGTACGGGGGCGTGGAGGCAAGCCGGGGTAACTGCACAAGGGCTTGCCTTGTAGTCTTGAACTGTAGAGAGCAAAATCACGACTGGGCAGGCGGTGAAGCGGCCTCAACTGCACTGTGCTATAGGCATCCACATCACACAAGGCCCCGTCAGGGCTGTAGTAAGAGCTAGAGGAGCTGGAATAAGGGCTGTAGCGGTAATGTACCCGTCCATTCTCAAAGTAAGGCTGGAGCTGAGTTACGTGGTAATCTGAGCGGGCCTGGGAGGACTGATATGGCTTATACTGGTACAGGGGTCTTGGACAGTAGGCTGCTTCATCATCAGGGGGAACTTCTGTCCGAGAAATGGGGACAGAGCGGATCATGGACGATGGGGGTGCATGAAGGGACTGCACCCTCCGGATGGTAGGGTACGGTGGAATATCTTCGGGGTAACAAGCACTCCTAACTGAAGAGCTCAGAGAAGAAACATATTCAATTCGGCTGCACGGCTTGGAGTGGTGTCCAGACCCATTTCTTCCAGGAGCCACATAAGTATTGTAACGAGGACCCATGGAGGTTGGTGGCTCTGACCGGGTACCATACACTTGGTGCTGCTCCAATTTATTATGATGTGGAGGTACACTCTGGGGACGGAACTGGCAGTTTGGAGTCATACTGAAATGCAAGCAATTTTCTGGGCCAAAGGGCTCAGGGGCAACTTCAGGCCTGGCAAAGGAAGAGTAAGCTATTTTCTGAGAAGCATGCTTAGGTTGAGGGATAGGAAGTGGTAGAGGCAACACGTCATCCACCGAGGCTGATGAAGCAGCGACAAAGGAGTGGTAACTAGAGCTGCTCGGGGCCTCTGCGCTGCTGGAGTGCACAGCTGCAGCCGTTTTGCTTTCCACTGTCCTGGTAGGGGCTACTGGGGCTGTGAAGGCACAGCAGTGCCCAGGGAAGGACTCAGCACGCAGGTGGAGGAGTGGGGGCCTACTGCCTTCGCGAACCTTCCCGGGTAGGCCTGGCTGGAGAGCAGCAGCAGCAGCAGCCATGGGGCACTGGACAGCTGCACTGCCGTCGCTGACAAAGACAGGTACAGGGTCATCCATGGCTTGAGGCTCAGGTGGCCTCTCTGGAGCTGGAACTGCTCCTTGAGCCTATTAAAAAATGACAATGTTATGAGTCTTTTTTTCATACTCCCCCAAGGAATCAAATGCTACTACAGTTTTGACTTGCAGCTGAGGTTATATGGGTGGCAGTTTGAACTCTTCACTGCCTCTGCCAGGAAAGGACGACACTATGATGCTGTTTGGTATATCACATCTCTGCAACTGTTCAGGGTTTCTAATTCATAATACATTTGAAATGTGACATGAGGCTGCCCGTGGCATTTTTTTTTTATGTGCAGGCTCAAATAAAAGTTAGTCAACACTGTGAAGCTTAAAAACAAATACCTAGCCAATCAGTCTAGCTTACCCTTAATACCGAGAACATTTTATTCAATGAAAAGAGTCAACTCTTTTGGAAGGATTTTTCCCGAGGAAGGATTTTTATTGTGAGTCAAAGTTGTATAGTAGGAGCAGTTTTAAATCCCCTAACACAAGGAAGGGCAACAAGGTGACAATCAGATCAGAGGTTATTGTCTTTTTCCACTTTCAACTCCATCTGTGGATTCACAAGCTAAATATAATTCTCAAAGCAAGACTCCAAAATATTATCCCTGAGAAGTAACAACTAGAAATAGCATCTTCCAAGAAGAACTAGAAATTTAAGCCCTCTAAGATGACCATAAAAAAAACCTATGGAATTTTTTTAAAAATCAGAAAACTAGGGGGAAAAAACCCCTTAGGTTTGTGTACAAAATTCTCTCATCAAAACAAGTACTTGGCAATGGAACAATCTACTGGTTAATGTTGAAAAATCAACACAAACCCTGATATCCTGTAATGTCTTACATTTCTAAAAAGCCTGAAAGGCAAAAGTCTTACAAATGTCTTACAAGATTGTCATTCTGCAGAAGTGAGTAACTGTCAGAGAGTGGCAAAATAACTTGCCCAAAGTCACAGTCAGGGATGGAAGTGGGAAAGAAAAAAAAAAAA